TGTGGCTTACGGGTTTAGGGGTTTAGAGGGTTTAGGGTTCTTCATTCCTGTGGCTTACGGGCTTAGCCTTGAGAGCTCTTTCAAGCTCTGCAGGGGTTACTTGAAAAGCCTGAGGATGCCTTCGCATTGCTTTGTTAAGGGCCCTTTCGGTTTAGGGTTTAGGGTTTAGGGTTTAGGGTTTGGGGTTTAGGGTTTAGGGTGTGGGGTTTAGGGTTTAGGGTTTAGGATTCCTTCGCATTCCTTTGTTAAGGGCCATTTAAGGCTTCTCGACTTAGCGCAAGAAGGCGCGACAGTGGGCGGCGGCGGGAAATACTATTCGACAATCACATAGAGACACGGTGGGGATATGATTCCTATCCTACACCGCAGATCCTGGGCCCTAAACCCTAAACCCTAAACCCTTAATCCTAAACCCTAAACCCTAAACCTGGAGCCAAATCCACACCTGCATATCCTGAAGTACTAAACTCTAGATCCCGAATTCGACATTCCAAGTCCGAGATACTGACCCCTAAACATACAGAGACACGGATTTGGGATATGTCTAAACCCTAAACCCTAAACCCTAAACCCTAAAACACTAAACCCTAAACCCTAAATATGTCCTAATAAGAGCATGCAGAACGAACCCAGAGGCCCCTGTTATATCATCCACCATAATAACCTTGACGATGTGACCTGTAAGGAATCTACCCTAAACCCTAAACCCTAAACCCTAAACCCTGAACCCTATAAGGGCTTCGAGTTTGGAAGTCATTTAAGGGCTTTTTGGTTGAAAAGCCCGGAAGGGACGTCATGATCCTGATGCCTCTGAAGTAGAGTAGAGGCCCAAAGGGTCCTATATACTGTTATGGGGGATACTTCCCTAAATCATAGTCGTAATTCCTAGTATAGTAACACTACATTCTACTATATCGGTACTTTGGACCCTTTGGGAGGAGATCCCCAGCACTACTTAGCCCAAAGGAAGAGCTGCAGGCGTTCAGGGCTTAGGGGCTTCGCCTTTTCCGTGATCTCAAAGTAGTACAGCATGGGCTAGGCATCCCAAAGGATCGCATCAGCTTTGGGACCCGCGGAACGGAACTGGCATCTAGGAAGGTTTCAAAAAAAGCCCCCACTACCGAACTACGAAGGCCCAAGTTCTCTAAACCCTAAACCCTAAACCTCCAGCTCACTGGATGAGATCTACAAACTACAGACGTCGCACCGCACCGGGCGGACTAGGGATCCAAAGAAAAGGAGTTTTCTAGGTTCCCCAGTGGCCCCCTAAATAATAAGGGTACCCTCTTGCCTACTATGTGGTTTTTTATACGGGAAACTAAACAGAAACAGGGCAAAAGGGTATATACGACTGGGTAACCGAGTTTAGGGTTCAGGGCCTAGGACGTCGAATCTCGGGTCTCTTGTTTTAGGGTTGGGGTTTTGGGTTTAGGATGTATGGTTAGGGGGGTAGGGGGGTAGGAAGTAGAGTATAGAGTTTAGGGTTCGGATGTTGGGCTTAGGATTTAGGATTTCAGGAGCATCAAAGCCGAGGGCACGCTTTGTAGCAGGCCGAGCTGGGGCGAGAGTCCCAGTTGGTCGCATTGCAGCCAGCCACGTTGCCCCTTGTTTCAGGGTTTAGGGTTTAGGGTTTAAGGTTTAGGGGTTCAGAGTTTCTTTTTTGGGGGTTTATGGTTTAGGGTTTAGGGTTTCAGGTTTAGGGCCAAAGTTTAGGGCTTAGGTTTTGTTTTTTGTGTTTCTGCGGTTTGGGGTTTAGGGATACGGGCACGGATTCTAGTGTTTGGGCTGTAGGGGTTAAGGCTTGGGGCTTAGGATTCATTTAGTTGACGGGCAGGTCTGGAACCCGAGATTATCGGGAGCCTTTCGAGAGATTCCAGCGTCCCTGAGTTAGTCAGGGGATATTCCTAAACTCCCGAACCTATGCAACCCTAAACCCTAAACCCTAAACCCTACATGCAACTTATAATGACGGTAGTGTAATTCCAGTATGTGGGTAGTTCTCTAAACTGGGGTCCCCTTTTAGGTCCCCAACATAGTACGGCACCCTTATAAAAAGGATCCCAACAAAAAACCTGCTTTTTAGGGTTTAGGGTTTAGGGTTTAGGGTTTAGGGTTTAGGGTTTAGGTAGAGAAGTACCCATGTCTCTGAACTAACGAAGCGATTTGGAGTCAATAACAAGCTGCTCTGACTACCCCCAGACATGGGCGCATCCGCAATGCAGGGGTCTTGACAATGACAATAGGGTTTCGGGGGGAATATGTTACTGTAGTATGTAGGGACTGTTGTCTATCAAGGAGTTAGACAACATAGTCTGTAACAGCACCCCAATTCCCGTGTCGAAAATGCGAAGTTCAGAATATATGTAAGACTATCTGAGGTATCTGAGGTTGTGGACCACAAGAAGGGTTTAGGGCACAGGGTGATAATGGAAATGCAGGCGCTATTATTGCTATGCTGCTTGCTACTGTTCCGGCCGATGCGAATGCCAGTTCGATTTCTCTCTTGCGACTCCTCTTCTCGATTACATCATTATCGCTGTCATCATTGTCCCAAGTACTGCTTCGATGACAACAGTCTTGTCCCTACAAGCCCAGTGACCAGCGTATTGAAGCCTATATTCTTGAATTCATAGTGACTATACCTAAACCCTAAACCCTATAATCCAGTAGCCCACTCTTGAAAAATGCAAAGCAGAAGGACCCAAAAGCAAGAACCATCATGCAGGGCAAGGGAGGCCTGTCTTCGTAAGATCCGTTCAGGCGTATACCTTAAGTAAGTCCGAAACCACCCAAGCCCTAAACCCCCAAACCTTAAACCCTAATCCAAACGGAACGCATGCCCCGCAAGTTCCGACTGGGCAAGCCCTCGCTCTAGACCAGAGAGCTCATTCCTGTGGTACCTCGAAAATTCGGATACTACGCTATCTCAGAACTACCATAGTTAAGGAACTTCCAGGGAAGCCTATTCCGACGTCCCCCACAAAGGTTTCACTGGTTGAGTTGTGGCCTGATTAAATAAACCCTAAAAGGCTACAGGTTAATGTAGGAACCTGATTAAGA